AATCAAAGTAGTATAGAGTCATTTCACAGCTTGTTACACTATTTGCAAGTGTCTGATTGATTTATTCCATAGTTTAAGTGATTTCTTCATCTRATTCRACCTTCTATTTTTTGGCYATTCATTCATTTATTCATTTGATKATTTATTTCCTCATTTTTTATACATTATTAACRAGATGGTATTTAACGGAATGGWCCCCGTGCTCTAAGACGTGTGGTACTGGCCAGCAAACGCGGWCCCTCAAATGTCGACGAATGACTGCWCCTTCAACTTACGAAGATCTTGACCATAGCCAATGCAATGCCGCGTCAAAGCCAAGCGAAACAAATTTCGATCAAGAATGTAATAAGATTGCTTGTCCGTCAACAGAATGGAAGGCTCTTAYTTGGTCAGAGGTAAGATTAATGTATTTTGTATTGTATATATACTATAGCTAATATTGATACGATCGCTATTTTCAATGTATGCAGCAAGAGCGTTTTTAACAACTAATGAATCTTGTTTCTAGTGCTCCACGACTTGCGGGGAGGGTGTGGCCACACGGCAGGTACTTTGCATTCAAATTGACATTGATGGTAAGGAAGTATCCACTGCGAAAGAACTTTGCAGTCRAGATTTGAAACCATCCACTTCACAATCCTGTAATACTGGCGTCCAATGCGGTAAGAATGATARCAAATTAAATGACGCCATTGCTTCATGAAGTGGTTGATCATTCACTTCCACAATGCAATACCTTTAACATGATATAACTGTAGCTTTCATAGCAGCTTTCTAGCCTGCGTGGCCGGCCCTAATTAAGGAAACTGGGGAGGGCCGAGCGGAGAATAGTGAAGAGTATCTTCTAGTAACATTGTCATTAATTGTCATAGTGTTTAACTAAAAGTAGCAAAAGTAACAGTTAACGTTTGATATATCTTGTACCATGACTGCACGCATCATGGCTTACTGCAGACGTCATTAGTATAGGTCATACGMTCATGAAACATGCATCGAAAAGCAATAGTAGAGTAAGATATATCATAAATGAATCCTCTGCGTTTATATAGATGTTTTAATACTGTCATATACTGTCATTTCATTTCATTTTACATCCATTCTACYTTTTATCTATTGTATATAGCTCGCGCTGTATCACTGGYAAAAATCGCGCGCTTTAAAGGTTGTACCTTTAAAGCGCGCGATTTTTTCCAGTGTATTGTTGTGTTTCTTCATCGCGCGCTTTCCGTCTTTTCCGTTGTTTGAAATCTTTCGTGTACTCTACCTTGATAATGGCCGCTTAGGCCGAAAGCTCGGTCGTATTGTGATAAAAACATCTATGTAAACGCAGAGGATTCATTTATTTTTACTATTTTTATTTTTTTCTACTATTATGCCTGCGTACAAAGAAATTTGGAAGATTAACAAAAAATCCTTCTTGTTTGACACAATTCCACCAAAGCTTTTCGTTGATAAGGGTTTAACGCATTCAAATTGTTTTTAAGGCAAACATTTCTAGTCGCTACACAGAATAACGCTGCCATTTTGTTTTTGCATCCCGCGAGATTTTAGCCAATCATCTTCAAGCTCCACGATTATAGTAGGTTAACTGTGATAGAAATAGGGAATGGAATGCATCGCTCCATTGAGCAGACGTTAGTGGAGAGATAACGTATGACCGATACTAATAACGTCTTCACTGAGAAGGCTAACTGTAACATTGCCTTTCCATTTTATTATGTAAAATCTATATTTTTTACGAACTACAGACGTGTCACCGTCTAAACATTTTGGTATCGCATGTTTCAACGCTGATCCGATTCCACTSGAAGAAACCCTTGGTGATTTTACAAGCACCATCAACTTAGATAACACAAAAGATGTTGTTGATCAATGCGCTTCTCTGGCTTACAATAAAGGCTACATGTATTTTGCACTTGGAAATAACGGAATATGTTACTCTGGGCCAAACACCAAAGCAATTTATCCAACAGCTAAATCTTTTGGAGTGAAAAAAGAAAAATGCGCAGGAGGTGTTGGAAGAGCTGGGCATTTTTTTGTTTACACATTTGGTAAGTGAAACGATACGTTTTGTACCATATTATACTACGTTTTACCTGCTCCGCAACCGAAGTAATATTAATTATTTGGGTAGATAGAAAAAGTCTTAAGTTTCTATTTTTACTTTGACTTGTCTTCATCGACAACTGAGCACCGCTTTTCTTCCACAGAACCTTTGCCCTCATATTCATCCCTGGGATGCTTTGGTGATCGGACACCTCGTGCTCTTCCTGTGTTATACGCGTACATGCGTTCTCAAATCGATTGGTACAACCCAGAGAGAACCGTCGARCAGTGCGCTAAGATAGCACGTGACATGTCCCATAAGTACTTTGGAATCGAGTACTACGGCGAATGCTACTCGGCAGAAGAGTCCATTGCTGCGAGTGATTACAAAAAGTATGGTTCCAAAAACGATTGCTGGGAAGGAATAGGGTACACTTGGCAARTGTCTGTCTACAAATTTGACTAGAAGTAAGAAACAAGACTCTTTCTATACAAAATACAAAAAAAATATTTTTATCGAAGCACCTTCAGACAATTATTCACATGTATCAATTATTGAAGGTTCAATGATTGCCTTGCTTCGATGCAAAGGCAAAGTTGTCTTTCAAGATGGCGAAGAAACCATGAAGAAGACTAWCAGTCACTAGCAAACAGTCTTTTAAGGAGATAACATACAAATTTCAAATATACATAAGATAAAGGGACCTCAAAAATTGTTGGGCGCTACATGACATACATCATACCGTACGTCATGGTACAACATCAGAATTTATCGGTCGATGACGTCATCAGGGCAAGGAGCCATTTTGTAGCCTATGCAGCTCTTAGCTAATCACAAAGGAGTGTTCTGCATTTTGAATATATAAAAAGACACCCCTTCAGTAGTTATGCATCTTGACAATTTATATCCCATTGCTACTTATTAAGTTATGTACATGATAATTATTTTTCTCGACAGAAAGCTTCTTGGTGCGAGAGTCACACAAGATGGAACACGAAAAATTGATATTTATAATAATATAATACTTGAACTTATGGCATTTTTGTGAAAAAGAGTAAGGGTCTTTAAAAATATTAAAATAAATGAAGAGTTTAGAATCGAAACATCAGTTTGTTATCATTTGTTTTATCCACACCGGCAGCCCATCCTTTGATTCTGATACTTTTAATGTAAATCTTACGAAAAAACCGCACTTGCAAAATATGACCACACCTTTCTCTGTTTTGTCTTTCTCTGTTGGAGTACATACCGATTCCTGGGAACAAGCTATTAATTTACAATAAAAAATTGGTATATTTCATAAGTGCATACTTATACCTGCAGTAATACAACAAAGAATGCTTTTTTTGTTTTGTTTTCGTGAAATTGTAGTATTGTGGAGTCATTAATGCCGCGAATCAAAATTTGACCATCAAAGTGTCATAGTTAAATAGACACGAAAGGAAACAATGAAACCAGAGCGTACTAAGTATTAGTGTAATATCTATTTCGTGATTTTTTTGACTTCCCAAGCTCTCTTTAAACTGTACTTTATTATGATGGTCATAACTAACAATGGTTATTCAAAGGATGTTCCGCTTCAGTTTCAAAATTGCTCTTTTTTATTCTCATTTTTACAATTTTGAGATCTAGTACTGATCCATGTAATCGTTCGCATTTGTACATAGTTCTAGTTCTTCAAYGGGATTTATAATAACAAAGTGAACCGTTGTTTGGGCCGATTGTTACGATTGTATCTAGACTTTTACATGTCCTAGCGATCTAAGACAGACCCAACCAATCAGAATGTATTAAATTGTATTGAAATTAAATCACAAAAGACGCACTCTATATCAAAATCGGCATATCTTTCAATTTTAATTCAATTTATTTTATTGTTTTTAGTCAGRGAGTAGGTGATAATTATAATCGGTTCTTCTGCGCAGGTAATTCAAGTCACGGCAATCCTATTGTTGCCAGGACAACGCCTAACTATGAAATAAGAGGATCTTTTTCTAAATTTGTTCGAAGAAATAAAAAAAAAACCCAATCAATTAACAAACCAAAATGAAACAAACAAACAGAAAAAAATACCCACTACAAATTAGATCACAAAGTTTGTGATGATTATGTAACCGGCTATGAATTACCTGTCGGGATAATTCATGACGTCAGRGTGTTTATTAACTTATAATCTCACAATGTATTATATTCTTATTACYCGATGTTTAGCTTTGGCAGCTCTGGTAGGTATCACTTTGTCCCTTTTTTCCAACTCTTTTGCTGAAGCAGGAGATATTTGCCTTGAATAAAAAGACTAAACCTTCAAGCTCCTATCCAAACGGCTTACAGATAGAAAAGGTAAAATCGATTGTCATTATAGATCAATTTGGTTTATTCACTTTTTTGCGATTAACTGATTAGATAATCATGTAATGCATGCAATATTATCTCTTTGATTTCTTTTTTAGGTTCCCATTGTTGAATGACTTACATAGCATGTATAGCCAGTGTTTATATCGCTTTGTGTTGCTGTTAGCATCATTCTCAACTAAAGGTACAGGATACAGTAACTTATATAATATAAAATAATATTCAATCTTTTCAATGTATAGATTTCTTAGAAAAACGACCTTAAAGCTTAGCCAAACTTGTTCTTGTGTAGAACGTACTCGTGCATCCTCGAAAGGCTAACCGTACGAGCATGGCTTTGTAGTGTATTCAAGTAATGCAAGAAATGCCTGTGTACGTGAAAGTGCACGTGGGCCTGTTTTCTGCCTGCCACATTTCACGTYCAGAACTAATGAACATGATCTTTGGGCGGATGGCATCGTTATTCTGTTATCTTTAGAAAAAGTTACAGAATAAGAGCAGTCTTTTGAATCTCATGGGAAGTGATTGAAAATGAGAGTCTTACTATTTTAAAAGCATCATATTATAGACCTTTACTTTTATATTGAGGAAAAACTAGCAAAGATTTCCGATTAACTCAGTTTTGGAATCCATTCCATTATTTCATTCATTWTTCTTCCGTTGCCTGGTTAAGTGATCAGTAGGAACTTGCGTTTTCTTGTTTTTTTCTTTCTTTTTTTTTTTGTTAAAATATTTTTTTATTTTCGAATGAACCATTAATCTGTTGTTAATTTCTCTTTTAGTTCTGCCGCTTTATCCTAGCAACAAGTTCTTATTTTATCAGYCGCGAAAGAAGTTGTTTATTGAATAGCGATTTTTTAGCCTTTAAAAAGTCACTAAAAGTTGATCCTTAAATCTTTTATCGAAGTTAAGTTTGTGAGGTAAAATGATTTTCGTTAATAGACCTCGGCAATGCACCATCGAATTATAACAATCAGATGAAATATCATTATAACCGCAACGTACCAATATCGCACGCTCTGATTGGCTACGAATTTTACTGGTAGGATTTTCACCTCTATGAAGTTATAGAGATAAATAATACACAGTTGACGARTTGAGCTGGAAAAAATCCTGCATGCCTAACTTTGAATATAGTGGAACAATTCTGAAATTTGAGATTTATCTTGCGATAATTTTTCCTTTGCATGTAAACTCAAMKGGCTAACATGGATTTCTATCTTGTTATATAGGGGCTTTATGTAGAAGTGCCAGTCATAAGGTAAGCTTTTGTAGTAAGACATCGGAAAAAATTGAATTTCAAAAACACGAGAATATATCATTTCTCGATCGTGACATGAATTTCCGCAGTCCCAGACCCACTTTGAAACCTGKACTGAATTAAACGTTYCRTCAGTMTAAATATCCTGTAAAGGCAGGTTCATCGGATGGCCCATCCCATCAGTAATAATAGGGTTTTGTTGCTCTAGTTGGCATGGTAACAGTGCTGGATCCTCAACTGGCAGACAATTGCATGGTAGAAGCATGTTTCTGTGAATTGTTTGCACGGGTTGGTCGCTGTTTTCTGTCATATTTCCAGAATTCCAAGCGCGATGAGACTGCATTCAGCCTCAAATGTTTATTATATGCAACATTTTAATAAAGGCAGAACAGAACAGAGACTTTTGTTTGTACTACCTTGCACGGGGTCTTGCACTTATAAAATTTGTATTTTACCGGAATTGTAGATTTTCTCGATATCTGAATTTTTTATTGCGGTATTGTGGTTTTATATCTCGTGYTATGCATGTCCTCTTATTTATCACCGTTGAAGCTATCTCACCAAAATTGTTGTTTATATCAACGTTAACTCGACTTCGTCTCGTGGATGAACAACAATTTTGAATATTCTATGACTTCAATCCTGGTAAATAAGAGGACATGCCACGAGAAACTCATAATTTTTTAAATAGGAATCTCAGATACTGGTCCGAAAAATAACTAGAATGCTAAAAAAATCAGCTAGAGACCAGAACTCTGTTGTAATATTTCTTCATATGTATGGTATGTAATCAGTGGTCAGCTATCTTTACAGAATATTCATAAGCTGATGACTTTCCATGAGCTCAAGAGATTTTTTGGTGCGTCGACCCATAGTGAAGGTTTGTATTGTTGTTATCAGACAATTGATAACAGATTAACAGCTTCTTATTAAACATCCGTAATCTATCCTTTTTCTTCTAGTTCCCAAGTATGAGGTCATAWGCCCAATCAAGTGCGACCAAGAGGAGGTCGATGGCACTAGAGATGAAAATAAGACGAGTTCTGATGAACAGCACTACAGACTGAAAGCCTTTGGTAAAACACTTCACTTGAACCTGAGAGAGAATAAGGATTTGACTGTACCTGGACTGATGATGGAGTCGTACGTTGATGGTAAAGTCAAYAGAACACCAKTAGAACCCATAACTCACTATTTTGGACAAGTGAAGGACCATCCAGAATCTAATGTCGCTATTAGTAGTAGTAACGGTGCTTTGGTAAGAACCTTTTGAAATTTTGGATTGATGTAATTCATTTATTCGTATAATGGTTTTCATCAGTAATTGCATTACGCCTATGGTTATCTATCATGACATTTGTATTTTGTCAACATCACTATCACAATTCATAATATTGTCGATCTTTTGGTATACTTTATTTGTTCCTGATATTGTTCTATTGTGTTATTATCTCAGTCAGGACTTGTTCAACTCAAAGATACTTCAATGTTTTTGCACCCGCTTCCACACCACTTAGCAAAGAAATTTAGCTATGAAAATCCTCATCTGATATACCAATTCGATCGGTTGATGGACAACGAAACTGAAGGTAATCATAGTCTGTGCGTACGAGCATACCAACCCACCAACCCACTAACGCACCGACCAACCGACCAACCGACCAACCG